TTTATCGAATAGCACTGTATGCTCAGTTTAAATAAATCATTGTGCGTTTTAATATTTAATATTATATTAATAGGATTCACCTGGATTATATACCTCTATATATAGGTATGCTTTCAATGAGAGTTGAGTTTATTTCTTCTTCTATGTGCCGTGTCCATTCAAGATGTTGACCATCATAGTTCTCCACATTTTTCTGTGCCTTGTAGCTCTTAATAAAATTTGTCTTTTTTGTTTCTTCTAAGCCCTGTTCAAGTTTGCCAAGTAGGTTCAAATACCGGATGCAAGAGGAAAACATCTCAGTTCTTTTTTTCTTCATCTATGTACCGTGTCACTTCAGGATCTTCGCGATTATGGTTCTCCACAATTTCCTGTGCCTTGTAGCTCTTAGTAAAATTTGTCTTTTTGTCATTTTTTCCTAAACATCGTTCCGCTAACCATTTTCTCAAGCTCACTAGGTAGGTTATGCGTTATTTTTTTTCTCTCCCTCTTGCCTTCAATCTGTCCTGTGAGCATCAATTTTTCCAAGCCCTATTTCTTCATTATATACTCCAGAAATTTTAAATGTCTCTTTCTGATATGAAGTATAAGTGTCCTTTTTGCTTCCATTTTTCTCTAGAACTTGGAGATCTTACTTATCAATCAGCATTCGTAGGGTTTTTTTTTTTTTTTTAAATATACAGACCAAAGCTTATTACATCGGTTGTTTTTAATGACACTGGTTGGTAGTTAACAACATACTATTTCTCACATAAACGTGGGATCCTTCCTTCAGCTTCGAGAAGTCGACTGCTATCTTAGTAACATCCGGCCACGGAAAAGGACCATTACGTTCATTTACCTGCCGCTTCGGCCACTGCTGATTCTTCACTTCTGACCACTGGGCATCTACTAACTCAGACTGCTGGACCCCGTTCTTCTTAACTTCCTGCCTCTCTCTGCTTATATGAATAATAGCTGGCATACCAACCCCTTAACCATCAACTGTGTTCCGGAAGCTTTGATATCACCATTCGACTTTTTGGGTGGTCAACTTAAATAAAAGACTACTTTTATGACTATATAAAATAATTGACAAAATTTTATGTTTCAGTTCAATTTCACACGCGAACTGGAGACGAAATTCCTATGAAACTCAGATAGCTGAGTGGACTTAAAAGAAAAGAAATTTATCTACATATCTTCTAAAGATGTGTAAGAAATCATATTGTTGCACAGGATAGAATGCGTGTTCAAACAGGTTTCTAACGTCACTATTAGCGGAGACACGGGTGCCTCGATTTGGTGTAATGGATAGCAAGCTTGTCTCGCTAGAACAATTACGACAGACTAGTGAATTCCATCCTCATTGGGTGCCCCATACTTTCAGCCTTGTGCCCCATCTAAGTTACGCTTGGAAAATCACCATTAGCGGAGACACAAGGTAGGAAATTTTACTCTTGTTCTAAATGTAACGATTATCTTACCCCTGTAAAGATGTTTCACCGGACAGACTTTAATTTTTATTTTATTTTATTCTGTTAAAACAAGGTTATTTTGATTGTTCAATGTGGGTCGCGTTAAGCTTTAGCGAAGCTGAAATTCAAAAGCAGATTTAAGGATATGACTAGTGAATTAAACCACTAACCTGGGGATCATTTGTGTTATTTTCGAATGTTGACGAGAACAAAATGCTGGCACTCGGCTTACTGCTCTCACCTGTTGAAACATATTTCGCGTCATCGTGTCGAATGCGGACATGCAACCAGCTGATGTCAGAAGACTTTATTTTCTCAGCATTTGGGAATTTCCTTTTCTTTAAGGGCGAATTTTCAATATAATTGATGACCAGCTCTGTCAAATCGACCAAAGGGTTTTGTACCATTTTCGGCTTGGAGTTCGCTTCCGATTTCAAAATTCAAATAACCTGTGAGAAAGAAAAATGACTTGTTCCGTCAAAATATTTAGCGTATAAATAATCTGATAATAATTCTAAGTTAATTTCTTATAACGTTGCAAAGAATCGGAAATATTAATTGTTGCTGGGTGGGGGTATATTCGTGTTGATAGGTTCTAGAGTAATATTAGTTGATTCATACTTTTCCCAAGGGTATGAGGCACGTAAGAGTATGTAATGGATTCGACTGGAATTCGAACTCGGCTCTCCGATTCCTCAACCCAAGCCGCTATCCACCGTGTCTCCTTCTTGTATACGTTATATTTAAGGTGGAAAGAAGTGGAAGCGACTACTTTTGGAGCATCCAGCGTGTATGATGTGACAATTTAATTAATGAATTGCTTTTTAAAAGGAAAGTACACGTTTACTGGTACCCGCTGTTACTTTCGAAATACTCCTCTGCTGAAGTTATACTGTAAACATTCTCGGAGCTCATTTTCAGGAATACCGTTCAATAATTTACACACATGTTTATAGATTGTGAACACATGCTACTGTAGAGGACCGGGAGGGGTGGTTGAGTGTTGTTGAATTAGAAACACGTGCTGTTTATTTCATGCCAGAAGAAGGTCTAACTACAATAGCGAACTCAAATTGAGCCCAACCGAAGATGTAAAGAAGATAAACAAAACCGACACACACACACACACACACACACACACACACACACACACACACACACACATATATATATATATATATATATATATATATATGTCAACAAATATATGTATTAAACAACAAATTTACAAGTGACAAAGACATTAACATTTGTGTTTGTGTGTGGACTTTAAAAAAGTTTGTATGTTGGTGAATGTTCGTACGTATGTGGATGCGTGTTTCTTGGCGTTTTCCCATAAGTGGGCGAAAACGCGGATTTCTACGAGATTACATTCTTAAATGTGTTCGCTGAAATTCAAAGTAAAAAGAGAATGAGGCGAGAAGTCACCCAGAATTTATAGTGTAAGAAGAGCGACCCCTAGTGAATAATTAGGAAATTAAGAAGGATGTAACACCGACAATACTTTCTTCAAGCGTCCTGGGTATGACGATAAACTACGCCCGGCAGAAAGGCCTCTGATCAGGAAGTTTTGGGGAGCGTGAAACCATCTCTTAATTGCTGGTGCTCCACCAGGGTGGTAGCACCTGTTAGGGTCCCTGCTACGGGCAAAAAGTTAACCCCCCAAACTGAGGTCAAAACGTGTAAAAATAGATTTTTATGCTAGCAATATATTTTTGTAAAAAAATTATTACCAGCAATAAATTTTCAAACAAAAAATTATTACCAGCAATACTTTTTTTGTAAAATATTAGCAGCAATATCTTTATATTACCAGCAATACTTTTTTTGGTAAAATATTCGCAGCAATACTTTTCTGAAAAAAGAAATATTAACAGCAGTACATTTTGGGGGAAAATATTACTAGACATAATTTTTGTAAAAAGTTTTACCAGCAATAAAAATCTTGTCGGCATTAAATAACACTTTGAGGTTGATATACCGTAAAACAACCAAGTTGAGGTAATCCCACAACAGTGGGGAAACAGGAACTCCCCGGAAAATTAAAATATATATTCAACATGATAATATGTTTCTAATGTAGCCTATTTTTCTAATATAAGAAGATATTCATGAACTGGAAAAGACACGACGGAGCGCTACAGCAGTTTTGTATTTTGACTGAATACTCTTTCTTCCATGAAATTTAGTATCGTTTTTCTTCATATGGACTTGCAATCTGAAATGTGGTGGCAAAGGTCAATTTGCAGCCAATATGCCTGCCAAATTCCTCCCTTCCAAATATTTGAATAAAACAAAAAGTTAATCAAGAATACACACAAGCTGTCAGATTTTAAACACCATATTACTACCACAAGAGATATCTGAACAGTCGAGTAATGAATTATGTGTTCAGTTTAGTGTCCGTGTTTGTGTGCCAATATTAAATGAATAACCATAACACTGAGCCAAAACGATGCATCACCATTTAACCGTCCACACTTTATCTGTCGACTAGCCCCTAACTGACCGTAGGTTTTTCCTATGGCATCGTTAGATTGAGTCATCACGTTAGCGATGATGATCAATTTTTCAGGCGCCGTAGCTATTGTCCACCGTTGAAATCGTTTGCAAGCAGAATGTTTTATCAAAGACAACAGGCAGTGTTCATGGATGGAGATGAGCTTTTTATTGGTCAGTTATTTGTTACATGGTGAGGCACGGTGGAGTGGGGAGGCATGGCTCAGATTGAGGAATTGGAGAGTTGAGTTCGAATTCCAGTCGAATCCATTATATTCACTTACGTGTTAATACCCCGGTGAAAGGTATGACTCCTCTCCTTCTTCCCACAGCTATGGGTAAATAGCAGGACAGACCGGGTTCTATAGCCTTGGATGGCAACTGGTCTACTGCAGAAAGAAATGGCAACCTACTGCTGGAAAAAATCTGCCTCGTCAGTCATGTATCGAAAGATATATGATCAGCTAATCGTGTATCACTCATGGCACATAACTGACGGAATATATTGCGTGGAGGTACGGTGAAGCAACGGATAGCGGCTCGGAATGAAGAATCGGTGAGCCGAGTTCGAATTCCAGTCGAATCCAGAAAGAAATGGCAACTTAATGCGAGAAAGAAAAATCTGCCTCGTATGTCATGTATCAAAAATACATGATCGCCTCAGTGTGTATCAGAAAATTGACTGATTTGTTACATGCTGGAGACTAACAATTTGATGTAATTAAACATCGGAGCTTTAGCATTAAGCTGGTGGGTCGGTTTGTTTGGTTGTTTTTGCTTAGCGGCATATCAACCTCAATAGTTCATTAAATGCCGAAATATAAATATTTTGTACCCATTTTTTAATTTTATTTTTGAAGATAATAATGGTTTACTTATATAAATCTTACTAATTAACCCATAGGTGGAGGGAGAATATGTGGGTTAATACATTCCCCAAGGGTATTTGCGCGTAAGTGAATATAACGAACCCAACTGGAATTGGAACGCCGCTCTCTGATTATCAATTCTGATGCATTGTCTATTACATCACCCGCAAATCCCAGCTTTCAGCATCTGATATTTCCAAACTGTCACCCATCTAGGTACTGAACAGTCTCGACGTTGCTTAACTTCGGTGATCGTGCGGGAATCGATGTTTCAATGTGATGTGGTCGTAAGCCTTTCATATTTGGTTATGACTATGTCTGAAGAACAGATGCGGTTTACTTTTGTACTGCAGGGGAAAATATGCTAGCATCCGTGGAGAGTCGTTTCTTCTTTCTAAGAGTAACCCAATTCTATTTTGAGAGATAGTTTTAGAATTGTTTTCTTTTACAAAAAAAAAAAAAAAAAAAAACAAAAAACAAAAAACAAACTTGTACATAAATCGCCAACTACATCTTCTTCTATTTATAAAATCGGGACATGCTGTTACCAAAAGCAAGGGATATGGAAATAGTGTAACTTTTAATATATATATATATATATATATATATATATATATATATATATATATATATATATATATATATATATATATACTGAAATAAGCAGACTTTTAACTTTAGATTTAGTAATTTAATCACTTAAAATTCAGTGGCAATTATTAGTCCTATTCTCCCTTATAATACTGCTAATTAAAATACTTAAAATATCGATTGTTACTATTTTTACTTGTACCTTTTCCGGTGAAATGTCCGTTCAGCCAAATGTCCGTTCGGCCAAATGTCCGTTCGGCCAAGTATCCGTCGGCTAAATTTCGTTCGGCTAAATATCCATCGGCCAAACGTCCGTCGGCCAAATGTCCGTCGGCCAAATGTCCGTCGGCCAAATGTCCGGCCTCGATTGGTTCAAACTAATCTCATTGACTCCTAACTTCAGTAATGTTCCGGATGATTGGGAACAGAACCTGATATCGTAACTATGGGAATTATATTTTTCTAAGTGTATATATAAGAAACTAAATTATATTAGATTACCGAAGTTAAACTAAATTTCCTAATCATCACCGGAACGTTCAGACAACTCTCGTGGCTGTTATCTGGTGTTTCAAATCTGACAACCTGTAAGAATTCTTTTAATGTTCTTTTAATATCCAAACAGCTGTACATTTAATTATTTTCCAAAGAAATATAAATATAATAGGTACATATAAATTTCCCAAATAAATTAATAAATATGTAAAGGTTTGGAGAATTAGATGAGCAAAGTAAAATAACTCGGACCGATTTTAAATGCGAATTAAGTTTTAGCGTCTACTGATTTTTTTTCTTTTTCTTTCAAATTTAACAACTTAAGACTTTGGCAATTTCAACCATGGAAAGGTTAACAATCAACCAACGAGCGTCACGCTCCAAAAGAAAAAGATATCAAAGTTCCACCCATTTTTCAATAGATCAATGGGGTAAAGGAGTAATAAAATTCTAGACAGCAAGCCTGACTGTCTTTTATCTTTCTTTCATTACCATCCATTCCTTCTTTTCTTTCGCTCGCTTTTCTTTTTATCTCCAGCTTTATTACTTTCTCATCGAATTTTGCTGGTACACATTATTCTGTTTCAATGTATATTCTTCAGTAAATATTCCTAGTATGAACTGGACGGACTTTATTGGTAGTTCTTAAACATTCTACATAATAGTAGGACCGATTTTAAGTATGAATTAAATTTAGGCGTCTAATGATTTTTCTTTTTCTTTCAGATTTAACAACTTAAGTCTTTGGCAATTTCAACCATCGAAAGATTAACAATCAAACAACGTGTTAAAGTTATGGAAGCCTATTACAAAAATGGACGTTCAAACAGAAATGCATTTCGCGCACTTCGCGAATTTTTGCTCAACATAATCGATCAACGGAGAGTGCAATTGGAAAAGATGTAACGTTGTTGTGGAGAGGTTCAATTCCTGCACGTGTTGATGAATAGTGATATCTGGATTTTCGGCCACATTCTCGTGTACAGCAGCAATGTTTTCAGCTGCACAGCCTATTATCAGTTTCACACGGCCAGCATTTGTCAGAGAACGAAAAATGAGCAGCTAATGAAATGAAAAGAATATGTTTTTCAACCATTCCCCCGCCAAAAGATGAGGCAAAAGAATATAGATCAATTATATCTTTGGATAAGAGAATACCGAATCAATAGGGGTGATGTCAGTGATTAATAAGTTATTGATTAATATCAACTAAAGAGGCTAATAAGCTTCGGTAAAGTAATCAAATTTATAATAAACACAAAATGATGAAAGTCACCGAACTTTTTCAAACTATACAGCGAGGCAATTTTGAGAAAACAAAGTCCTACAAGGATTCATTATTAGCGGCCACAATCTTAATAGTATAAGATATGCAGATGACACATAGTTAACAGCAGACACGGAAAGAAAACTAAAAAAAACATCCTACAGAAGGTAGTGAAGGAACGCAAGAAAAAAGCATTAAACATCAACTGCAAGAGAACGGAATACATAGTTGTTAGCAAAAGGATGAGCCCAAACTACAAATTACAAATCAGTGGTACCAAAATCAAACAAGTACAAAGATGTCAATATCTTGGAAGTGTTTTAACGGAGTACGGAAAGTGTGATACGGAAATCCTAAGTCGCATTGGGATAGCCACAGATGCATTCTAAAAGCTAAGCAAAGTAATAAGAAACAGGAAAACCTCGTTAGAAACAAAGAAAAGAGTACTGAACTGTTTACCTGATATCACTTTTCCTATATGGACAATCTCTTCAACGATAAATAAACTTGAAGCAATATTTATACATCTTTACTTAACACGCATTACTTGCTTCAAAACATCGCGAAATATCGGTCCCTTACCTTTGCGTTATAAATTAACACTTAGTGCTATTGCTATACCAGCGTAGAGATATAGTAGCGTACAAAGCCAGTTTTGTGATGTATGTTTATGATATTGCGTGTTAGTGGTTTCGTTTATTTTATTTTGAACTATGGAGTAACCACTCGTAACCAAAATGCTGGCGCCTATGATAAATCGCTGTTAGCGTTTTAACATCCTGCTACCACTTTTTTTAAAACAATGTCAGTTTGTGTGCAAATCTGTGCAAAAAGTGGATCACAGAGCTTTGATATTTTCATAACTTCTTAATTAACATTAAAATCATGTTCTCAACTAAGTCCGAATAACATCGACTTAGTTCCTGACCTGACGAACACAAGTTCGTTCTTTCTCTCTTTTTGATTTCTTTCGCTTAAAAAATGTAGCTGTTTAAGAAATTGCGTTTCAACCACTTGTGGGCGGACGTTATGAAAACATATTCACACACGCACACATAAACGTAATGACGAAACTTAATTACAAACATTACAAGCAACGGAAACTTAATTACAAACATTACAAGCATTAACATATTGCGAATATTCAACTACAAGCAACAGAAAACAAACATTATGGAACATTCACTCCTTCAACTCTTCTGAAGTTAAAAGTTTATCAGCATATTTTCAGCTTTACAGAATTCTTTCAACTCTCTCACAGTGAATATTTTAAGCGGCAAATTCATTCAACTTTTTATGAGCTCAAATAAAAATTATTTCATTTGTAAAATCTTTAATTCCAGTCAAAAGGAAGTAACCCCTATGCTTGTACATCATTACAGACATAAATATGAATATTTTTTGTTTGTTATGAAAACCGTTTTGCATTCCTTCTTGTTTTTCTTGTTGCTTTTGCGTTTGCTTACACATTAATAAAGTAAAAAAAAAAAAAAATTAGGCCGTCAGTACCGCTACATCTTCTTTAGGATCGTCTATTTCCAGCAAATGGGAATTTCCTATTTTTTCTGAAACGGACCAGCACAGCCAGGTAACAATTTTATAACAGTGAAAGTGTTAACAATATATATAGTACTCCGAGTTACGTTCAAATTCATTATATTTTTATCATTTTTCTTAAACTTGTATATTCTCATTCTGGAAACTGTCAATAGCGAATCAAACATGCAGCAGCTTCGCCGGAAATTAGAAACTGTAAAATAAAGACCTTGCACTCTAAAACAGAGTCAGGCGAGTTATTTTATCAAATAGGTTTTTCTTCTCTTTAGAGAAAGACACGTAGAGGAAATTGACCAGCGAGGCGTTCGATAGACTTCGGGAATCTCATTAAGCGACAGAATCTAGACTGCAGAGTCAAAATGAAAGCGACACCATCATAATCGGCAAATGTCACGCACATCTCCGGAGACTTGATGTGAAACTCGATGGTAAAGTTTTATTAGCGTTGCCTGGAGTTCTACATTGCGCTTGCACGTGTTCAAGTGTGAAAAACCGATCGATTGCTATCATCCTTTGTAACGTCATTATGTGATATAAGATTGTTTAATATGAAGTGTGTGTAAAATTTAGCAGCAAATATGATTTTCAACTGTGTATTCATTCAAAAGGGCGCTGGAAAATTCTTTGTCACAAACAATAATAATAATAATAAACCCGTCAATATCTGAAGCGCAAAAGATTGATTGATTTGTTTTTATTACGGCTTATCAAACTTTTGTTAGTTATTTAAAACCAAAATATATTTTCGACTCTAAGATTTCTTATTCTGGTGAGTGAATATCGCATAAAGAAATTTTTGGAGATAAAAATCGTTTTTTCAGACATTAGTTACATTCCTTTCTACTCTTTTAGAACCAGAGTGGAGAGTTATCCCTTGTTCCCTGTTTAGATTTGGGTTTCCGGTTCCTTTTAAAACCTTTTCATTCTCTCTCACTCCCAGCAGTTCCTTTCGTCTTAGTAGCTTAGTCGGCTTGCTTGGGGTGAATGAATTAAGAAAAACAAAGACAAACTAGTATTTAGCCAATAGCTAGAGCCGAGGTTCTTAACATTTTTCATCCCATTGCCCCCTTTTCGCTATTTTTCGAAGTAATCGCTCGTGTTCATTCGTAAAAATGTAAATTTAAATATTTTACTTGCATTACACATTTTCCAAGAAATTAACTATTGTATCAAATTGGTTTACAAATGTGACCAGGCAGTTTCCTTTCGAAAGACAATGGACTTCCGTATGGATAATAAGTCTTATATGCTGTTCTTCGGTATGAATACAAAACTTTCGAAAAAGTCTGTCATATTTGCAGTGAGATTTTATGTTATTGACTGTTTTAATAACTACTGTCAATGACTCCTGAAAATAAGGAGTAATATTTTTAGCAACTAA